ATGTTTTTCATCATTTCATTGTTGGAATCCTAGCCAACCTAATTTCACAACATCGTCATCACCGTACACTAATGACATTGGTTCATGTTGCAGAACATTGACCCTCATCGACCTTCGTACCCATGAACTTGCAAGAAACAGCTGCCCGAAATTTTGCACGGCTCCTCTTCGTTTTGCTACATAATTCCTCAGAAAAGAAATACCTTAAAGTGGCAGTGTGTGTGTCATATCTACAATAATTACATAAAAGTAGTTAGTTCCTTTAGTTTAAAATTCACTCAATAAAAAATATTTCGTATACATACCTTTTGCAAATGAGATTGCAAATATCCAGAAGGTAAACAGTTCATCGCCAAGATGCTTAAAAAGCATTCCTCCGCCATATCCCTTGTTCTTGCTAACATATAAAATTCGTGGAATTATAAAACAAAAGCATAAAAAGTAAAGATTCTTGAAAAAATTCAATGAAAATTACTACCAGATTGTATTTCGCGTAAACAGAAGAAAATAAATAGAAATATATATTCACCACGACAAGTAGCACCAGAGCATTATTTTTTTGTAGTTTCTCATTTTAGTGGCAGCGCTCCGAGCGTTCAGATAGTCATTATCATTTTGCACAAAAAAGGTAATGAAACAAGTTGTATTCGNCCTTGTTCTTGCTAACATATAAAATTCGTGGAATTATAAAACAAAAGCATAAAAAGTAAAGATTCTTGAAAAAATTCAATGAAAATTACTACCAGATTGTATTTCGCGTAAACAGAAGAAAATAAATAGAAATATATATTCACCACGACAAGTAGCACCAGAGCATTATTTTTTTGTAGTTTCTCATTTTAGTGGCAGCGCTCCGAGCGTTCAGATAGTCATTATCATTTTGCACAAAAAAGGTAATGAAACAAGTTGTATTCGAATAGTTTACATAGTGAGTCATTTACGTATATAATTTTATGTAGAATTATTCAATAAATTTCGTTTTACACTATATTGTTTGAAACTATTTTGAGCTAATTATTTATGTTTCTCAAAAGCAACCCTGCGTGCTTTGAAGGCGTGTGTACCAATAATTTCATCCCTGGCATATTCATCCCCGAGGAAGGCAGTCGACAAATTCACCCTAGGTTGTTTACTGGTTATATTACGCTGGATATAGTCATAGTGAAAAAATAGTAGCGTTCTTGTACGCGATAGTTCGTAGCAGTTTGTACTATCACGTTTTGGTGTTCTTGTACCCCAAAAACTTGTAAGAAAGGGGAAATTGAGAGCGCAAAGTGACATTTCTTTTTGAGGAGAAGTGGCTACTTTTTACTGGATAAATTTTTGCTAGTAAGATCTTGCAAGCGAGAAAAACAGCTGATCGCATGTTGCTGGGTGGAATTGAAACTAATAAAAGAAATGTTTATGAGGTTTTTATAGTTGAAATTGACAAAATAAACCTATTTTAATATAATATATATGCGAAAAACAACAAATTAATCAGCTGTTCGTAAAACTTGCAAATTATTACTGGTTTTGCGTTCTTGTACTTTTGTACTAAGAGAGCGACTTCTCAGAAATTCAGTTACTGGAGAGTTACTGGCAAGTTACTGGATAATTTGTAAAAGAACAAACTAATATAAAGTGTGCCAGATAGCAATGTGATTCTATTCCGGTACTCTTATTTGACAATTTATTATCAGAAAATTTTCTTTGATTTGACTTTCACGTTAACCCTTTTGAGTGAGAACTTATGTATTTTTTTTCATTTGAATAAAAAACTAAAGAAAAAATGCCTAGAAATCCTTGTCGTTTGTGCAAAAGCACACATAACATTGTGGTATTGATGTTTTCAGTCCGGAAGGTTGAGTATCTAAGCCGAAATTGGACAGAGGTATACAACAAAACCAAGGGTTACCGCCAGATTTGAAAAGCAAACACCAGAAATTAAAGAAAAAATAATATTGTTACGATTATTCTCGAAACCTTGAGGGATTTCCCAAATATCCTACGGCTCGTATCGCTGGATTAAATAAATGCTAACGATGACCAAATTGTAGTACAATTAACTTTATTGTACAACAAACAATTTACAATACTTGCTAATACAGTAGAAACACTTTACAATACTTGTTAAAGCAATAACAATGCTTTACTAAACTTGTTAACACAATTAAACTTATAGCTTGCTTATTCGCAACTCACTTCTCTGCTCACTTTACTTGTAGCTTGCTGACTTGTATCTGACCCACTTCGCTGTGGCGGCGGCCTTATATACCTGCGCTCGTACTTATGGCAACTCTAGAACGTTCTGAAGTTTATCGCTCATTCTCTTTCTCTCGCTGTTCGCAGTGTTCATCCAACTTGACGTTTCTCTTTGTGGAACATTCTACGTCATTCCTCGAACATTCTGCCTATTTCTCGTTGTTCGCTTCGTGTTGCCGCAGTATTCGTCACACTGCCCTCCACCTAAGTCTGATCGTCCCGATCAGACACACTTGCTGTTCCAAACGCTGCAAGCCTTTCCAAGTGGACCACCTTCATCTTGTTTCTTGGTCTCCCAACGGTCTGGAATCGATACACTACGTCATTCAGCTGTTTGACGACCTTATACGGACCTTCCCAGTTGCATTGTAGCTTTGGGGACAAACCTTTCTTCCGTTGTGGATTGTACAGCAACACTAAGTCTCCCTCTTGGAAACCCTCTGAGTTCATTGCCTTATCATACCTGGCCTTCATCTTGTCACTCATAATTTAAGTTCGCTGTCTCACAAGAGCATGTATTTCTCTTAACTCCTCTTCCAGGATGTTGGACGTCTCTGTCCCAATTCTCCTTGCATCGCCAGTTACTCCAAACTTCAGGTCACTAAGCAAACGGAGCTCACTGCCGAAGATTACCCTTGCAGGAGTTTTACCCGTTGTTTCATGCACTGCTGACCGGTATCCCATCAGGAACAAGGGTATGCGGACATCCCAATCTTTTTGATTCTTGTCCACGACCTTCCGCAAATGCTCTTCCAGGGTTCGGTTGAACCGTTCCACCATGCCGTCTGATTGGGGATGAAGAGCCGTCGTTCGAGTTTTCCGGATACCCAGTATCTGGCACATCTCTTGGAACACTGCCGACTCAAAATTTCTTCCCTGGTCAGAGTGCAGCTCTATAGGTACACCGTATCTCGCAACCCAATTGTAGGTGAATACCTCCGCTACTGTTTTAGCTTCCTGGTTTGGAATCGGGTATACCTCCGGCCATTTGCTAAAGTAGTCCATAACCACAAGGACGTATTTGTTTCCCTGTGCGCTCATAGGAAATGGACCGGCTACATCCATGGCAATCCGCTCGAAAGGTGCACCTGAGTTATATTGCTTCATCTGGCCATGACTTCTGGATTTCCACTCTGCGACCGATTGCCGACAACCAACCCAATAGAACCTCTGCTTAACCTTCTGCAGGGTCTTCGTGATTCCCTGGTGCCCTCCACTAGGACCATTGTGGGATTCCTTGAGTACATCCCGAATTCTTACCCTTGGAACTACTATCAGGTTGCGGGAGCACTGGCCATCTTCGCTTTCCCATACCCTATGCAAACAGCCAGATATTAATTTTAAGCTGTTCCATTGTGCCCAGTACGCCTTTGCGATGGAGCTTTCCGCTGCCATTTGCTCCTTAGTTGGCCTCCTGTCCACCTCCAGTCTATGCATCAAAAGTCCCAGATCTGGATCTTCCTGCTGACACTTTCGTAGCTGTTCATCCTTCCACTCTTCCGCTAGTGTTATTGTCGTTAGACGGACGTCTATAATGTCCTCTTTTCCCTCAGCTTTTGAGCAGTGTTTACATTCCAGGCTACATGGTCGGCGGGACATGGCATCAGCATTACCGTGGACACTTCCCTTGCGGTGCTCAATAGCGAAGTCATAACTTTGCAGTCTCTCAATCCACCGAGCTAGCTGTCCTTCTGGATTCTTAAACTGTAGTAGCCACTTCAGCGCTGCATGGTCCGTTCGAACTCGGAAACGTTGCCCATAGAGGTACTTGTGGAAATGTTTGACGCAGTCCACCAACGCTAGTAGTTCTCTCCGAGTTACGCAGTAGTTCCTCTCTGGTTTTCCAATCGACCGGCTATAGTAGGCAACTACCTTCTCCTGCCCATCAATTACCTGCGACAGCATGCCTCCTATGGCATAACCACTAGCATCCGTATCCAAAATAAACGTTGCACCTGGAACGGTATACGCTAGCATAGGTGCAGTACATAGTCGTTCCTTCAGAGTCTGGAAAGCCTCCTCCTGCTCCTTGTTCCACTCGAAGGCTCTATTTTTCCTAGTGAGCTCGTGGAGGCTATTAGCAACGCTGGCGAAATTCGGAACAAATCGGCGGTAGTAGGTGCATAGCCCAAGAAAACTTCGTAGTTCGTGCAGGTTCCTAGGTCTTGGCCAATCCTTTACTGCTTCTATCTTTTCCTTCGCAGTACAGATGCCCTCCGTTGTCACCTTGTGCCCTAAGTAGTTCACCTCCTTCCTGAACAGTGAGCACTTGTTAG